GGTGGGAACGGTCGGGACAGTTGGGGTGGGGGAGAAAGGTCGGGGGTGGGGGAAGGAAGGTGGCGAGGGCGAGGGATGCGGGAAGCTTTAATGGTGGGTTATCTTCGAAAATGTGAAGCCCCCGACGTTGTGGAGCACTGATGGAGCAGATGTGCGACAGGACGGGAGGAGGTTGCGACAGGCGGGTGATCTTCGCGGACACGTGTGCGGCGGCGGTTGGGCGGGGAGCGGATGGCGAATCTCGGAGGCGGTGGTGATTGGTGGGAAGGGATTTTTGATAGTCCGTTGCGTGCGCACGCGCCGCATGGGAGCTGCTCCGGCGACAGCACGGGCGTCCATCATAACGTGTTAGATCAAATCGGTCGCCGACGGCGCATTGCGAGTGGCTCCGCCGGAGAAATACGCTCTCCGCCGATGCGCCACCGATGCGCCGCCGACATGGCCCTTCTGGCAGCACCATCCTTCTTCGCCCATGCTTCTCTTGCAATGCCATCGTGAAATCGTCCAGAGCATCTGTGCGTGTGGCAAAACCTTCACTTACCCCAACTTACGTCGGGCCCAAGTAGGATCTGATCAACCCATCACCAGAGATTCGGGAATAACACAAATAAAAAAGGATGGGAGCGCTTGTTAGGGCGCTTACTCACATAGCATCGCTGAGTTTCGATCTCAGGACCGCTGGGTTATGGGCCCAGCACGCTAACCACTGCGCCACGATGCTTCTGTCTGCGGGGGTTCGTTGCACGGTATTAATACACAGCATTCCGCAGAACGTGATTTCAGAGAGAAGGGTGCGCTAGTTTCGTGATATAGCATCGGCCCCTTACAATGTTAGACAAATAAAGGCATTCGAAGGGTGCGCACCCCTCATGCATTGATAAAATTACCCCCCCGGGGGCCCCCCGCATGATACTGTATCGGCCCACCCTTGCATTTGAATAAAATTCCCTTCCGAATCGCGCCCCCCCCCCACCCCCTAAACGCAACATTATCTCTATTATTATATTTTGATCCAAGTAGAA